GACGGCGTCTTCAACGCCGAGCTCAATGAATTTCTTGCGCGCACGCTTGGAGAGGCAAGCACGAGGGCTTTCCTGGACCTTCAAATGCGGCTCCGTTTTGGGCTCTTTTGATCTTTTGGGGTTAGGACTTCTTCTTAGGACTGCCAAATAGGTATTGCATTGGAAGGTCTAGGCAGTGTGTTAGCCAGATTTGAAAGGGTGTCATCTCTAAGAGCAGTTTTAATTTAAAGCTTACATTCCCCAAATAAGGAGAGCCCAACATAGGCCCCAAAATACTATAACCTTCTGTGTTGGAACCCCAAAAAGGTATCCCTATTTTCGGAAAGCCCCCCAAATGATGGTTGGTAGGGACGGAATGGTTCCCAGCCTCGATGACAGTCCGTCCCTAGAACCCCTTCCTTCATTCCTTACTAATGGGCTTGATGAGCGAACGCCGCCTCGCCCAAAGAAGGTTTTGAAACGCTTTGTGGAAGATGTTGTCCTGTATGAATTCGCGGCCTCACAGTCGTCGCATTTGGACATGTGCTGCTAGCGTAGAGTCGGCTTGTTCTCACACTGATATCTTGTCATGGATGCAGGGTGTCTTCGTTAGCAGTATCACTAGTCTAGTGGATGGCGACGTCTGCCACTCATTGCTTAGTACTGTCGCTGCTAATGAAACCTGCACTGCTATGTCTGCAGATGCTTCTACCTCAGCTTTCGGTATTCATACTGCCGCTATTCTGTTGTCTTTCGTGGGGCCCAAATTTCAAACAGCGGTTTCCACAAATAGGGGACTCCTATGTACACGCCACATACTACACTCCTTGTTATGGGGACACCCCAAAACAAGATACCCCTAACTTTTGGAAATCCTCACCCCCATCAATCCCTATATATCCATAACAAAACCGCTATATGCGCCAGCATCCACCCCCCTGTGGTGCTGTGGCCTGTGGTCTGGGTCTTGTGGTCTAAATTCAGGTTTAGAGTGGTTTATAGTGTTTGTAGAGCGTTCATAAACTCTTCCCCCCGCTGTGGTCCTGTGGCCTCTGGTCTGGGTCTTGTGGTTTACCTTAGGTTTAGAAAGGGTTTGTAGAGGGTTTGAAACAGTTTCTAGAGGGTTTTGAGCAGCTCATAGAGGAGTTCAAGAAGGTTTACAAAGGGTTGTAGAAGGCTTATGCAAGATGACGACCAAGCTGATCCGTGACTGTGAC